GAACACAGCCAAGACAGCTGACCACAACTGCCCACAGGTGGGGAAGGAGGAAGAGGGGACATGCACCGTGACAGCATTTGTCTTTCCAAGTCACCGTTAGGCATGACAAAGCCCTGCTTTCCTGGGGACGGTTGAACACCTGCCTGCCCAGGGGAAGTGGGGAATGAATCCCTTGCTTTGCTTGCACATGTGCCTTTTGCTTCACCTATTAAACTGTATCTCAACCCACAGGTTTTCTCACTTTTGCTCTTCCACTTCTCTCCCACATCCCACCAGGGGGGAGTGAGTGAGCGGCTGTGTGGTGCTGAGTTGATGGCTGGGGTTAAACCATGACAGCTGTCAAGGTTAAAATAGTATTTAGAGTCTGTGTAAAGTAGCTGCAGCTTTTTTGAAGACAAGCTGTTTCAGTTTCTACACTTGTGCAAGACTGTAGTGAGCCTGAAAATGAAAATTAGATGCCAAAATAATTAAGTCATTTTTTTTTAAATTTTACCTTCTGCGATGCAGACTTTTTACTCCTACAAGACAGGAAAGTGAGAAGCAGAGAAATGAAGCAGCATCACAAGATATGCACTTACTGAACATTATTTGTGTACTTCAGTACCTCCCTTGCCAACTATAATTACTTGGGAGTCACTCAGGCAGGTGTAACATCACGTTTCAGATCTCAGGAATCCTGTGCCAAAAACCATATCGCCATATGCTAAGAAGGTCATGAAAGACTTTTAGTCAAAAAGCAAAAGTTTGGTGACATCAAGCCATCATCCGACCAAAATCCTTACTTTCCTTCTGAAAAGCAGAGCCATAATGAGGGAAAGCCACAGGAAAAACATAAATCATAAGAAAATACTTGGAGACTTTGTTCTTTCAAGACAGTAATCTTCCAGAGCAAGCTGGTTACCAATGCCTGCTGTCCTTTGCCCAGGCTGGATGTATCCTCTGACTGAAGAGCACATGAAGAGCTCCCTCACGGTCTCAGAAGCTGTATCACTAGAAAGAAAAGCAGTCCAGCCTGTAGTATTAGTGACCAGTTATCAGAGGATCTAGGACCAAGCCAGACAGGAGTTTCACTGTGCTGTGAGTCTGTGAAGAAGAACCCTCAGCCAGGTCAGCTCCCCGTTTCCCTTGTTCTTTTCTCCTCTGCACAAAGGTTTGCGATAAACCATTTCGTCACAGCAGGCAGAAGGCAGATACCCTGCCCTACAGGGCTTATAACCCAGCTTTTAGTTAAAGACAAAAGGGAGTCAAGGGAGGAGACACTGCATCGGGGCACAAAACCCAAACATTATATAAAGAGCAGAATGAATTTTATTTTTGTACCAGTTAAGTGTTGTTAAAAGAGTTCAGGAGCACAAATATTGGCAGTTGTCAGAGCTGCAGTACAAGCCTCAGAGGTTCAGTTTTCTGAGTGGCTACAGCTGTACCACCTTCTAAATCCTTGGGTCCTGATTTATTCATGGCATTAGGAATGCAAAATGCAAGCAGAGGGAAGTAGGCCAACCAGAGAAAAGAAAGCAGGGACACAGAGGAACCAGTTTCTTCATTCCAGCTGAAAACAGGTTGGAATTATTAACTCTTTCAGAGCAAGTTCTCTGTACCAGGCTGTTGCCTTTTCATGAAAACGCACAAATGAGCCTCTCCCCACAAAATAAAAGCACAATGAACAAACACAAGGCAAACGTGACTTCAGAAAGAGAATTCTGCTTAACTCCAGCCCAAGGCGTTTGCCTTTTCAGAGGCGCAGTGATCAGGGCAGCGTGTCTGACAGGGGAGGGGCTAGTGGGCTTGGTTCTGAGAACCATGGACCAGCCGTTCAGTGGGCGCAACCCAACACAACACAGATCCATCAGGAACGAGCAGGGCTGTTCCCGCTTACCCCGGCCAGGATTCTGGCCTTGTACTTGCAAATCCCAATCCGCATTCAGATCGCCCTACAGGGAAAGGCCTCGCTTTCTGGAAGCGTCTAAATAAGCTACTAGAAAAGCTGCAGGACGTGCTTGAGCTGGAACAACCCCTGCCCTGCCTGTAATATTATAAATCCTCTAAATCAAAAGGATGTCGAAGCCTGCGGAGGAGGGAGGCTGCAAAGTCATCAGCTTTTATGCAGGGGGAGACAGGACACAAACCAGCATTTCCTGACATCAGCCGATACGAGAAATTTGGGCACCAAAACAACATCCTCCAGAAAAAACACACTCAAGGGCCAACTCAAGTGACATGAAAGCACGTATTCCCTTTCTAGTGAAAGACGTTAACATAAGCCCCAGAAGGAGGTTGTAGGCCTGACCCACATTTAAATATTCTAGGATGCTGACTGATCACGTGAATGAGCTTCATCCTGCAACGCTCCCATCAAACAGGGCCACAGGGGTCGTTTCTGCTCCCCTCTCGTAGCGCATACAGAGGGCAGGCTCCTCACACCCGGCAGGAAAGGGCACAAGGCAAATCCCTCATCCGTCACTTACCAGGAAACGGATGCGCCTTGAGCATCTCCATTTCAGTCCTCGGAGCAGATGCTCTGGTCAGCCAAGTCTTTGAGCATACGCTTGTAATACAGAGTGGTCCACAGAATTTACCCCGGTGACTAGATGGCAAAGAGGGAGCTGGGGGGTGGGGGGGAAGGAAGAGGTACAGCAGCACATTGCTCCATGGAAGAACGGTCCTTTCAGGGAAGGGGAATGTTTGTAAAGTCAGAAATCTTGAGGAAAAAAAAGCAGCATCCAGATGTGAAAGACAAGAGCTATCAAGGCTAAGTCATCTCCCCCACCCCACAGGCACAGCATTGCTGCACAGGAAGGATGTTAATCGCCCATCTTAACTTTAACATCAGCTTTGTCGGTCACCTGCCCTGTTGCTTTATTTCTGCACCTCCAAGCGCCCAGCCCGTGCGCTCCAATGACAAAACTGCACAGTTTGTTTAAAGACGTTTCTGACAGAGGGTACAACACAAGAGCCGTGGTGCTGAAACAAGTGTCTTCCACTGACATGCTTCTGTGTTCTCTCAGCAAACCCCAGCCTCAAGGGAAAGCTGATCTCAGGGGCAATAACCACATCCAGTGCACCCTAAAGGATTCTGCTTTAAGCCTCTTGAAATCCATTTATACGTGCGCTCCACTTTAAGCCTCTTGAAATCCATTTATGCGCACGCTCCGGAGAATCTAGGCGCCTTTCACAACCGACAGGCAGCCTCTGTAAGCACCTTCCAGCCTGACAGGAACGCTAGAGCCTTGCTCCTTCCCCATAAACTCCAACAGCACCCAGGGAACATGGAGTTTGTCTTCCTGGCCAGAACTAAGCGCTGCTTTGAGATGTTCTGCACTTGCTCCTTTCCCCACTAAATGTTTATCAGTTTTCCCGCTGATCTATAACTGGGCCCACGTCCTCACCGCGTGTTTTCCCGGGGCTGCCAATCCCCCCAGCCCCGTTCCTGGACAGGATCCCAGTGCAGCGATGTGGAAGTCCAAGTCTGGTCAACAGCTGAAGACAATTTTGTGCTGTAAGGACAAACACTGAGGATTAAGTTGTTCTTAGGGAATGCAGTACACAGGCTTTCCAGCACAAGTGCTAGCGTTGCCAACACCTTCCTGATGGCAGCTTCCTAGGAGAATTATAAAACCACCTATGGAGCTACAGCGTGCTCCTCCTCGGGTCCTCAGCTGGAACCTTTGAGTCTAACAAGCACTAGGCAACACCCTGATAGAGATGGCCAGGCAGCAGTGTCGGGATAGTCCTCAGCACACAAGCTGGGCTGGCCCAAAACTGTACCAGCCTTTCAAGGAGATGACTGGTTCTACGTTAGGGCCCCACCTTGAAACATACCCACTTAGAGGAATCTCTCATTTGCGGAGTTTCCCCCGTTGAGAGAAATTATAAAACATGATTTTTGAAGTTCTATTTCTCTTGACAGAAGTTAGCAAGCAGCACTTGCACCAGATGGAGTAACACAGGCAGATGAAAAAGGGCAATACATCAGTCGAAGCAGATCCCTCTACAAATCTCCATATCAAAGTCTTCAGTGATTTTCTTATTCTCTCCAGAAAACAGATAAATACACACACAAATATATACACACACATATATTAACCAGATCCTCTGACCCATCTTTCAAGTGCTTATTCCACTGCTGTAAAATGAGGTTGTAAAGTTTCCTCAAATTTTAGAGATCCGAGTTCAGCTTCTCCCAACTTCTACTCCGGGTTAAAACGAAATGACAGAAGATATATTCTGCAGCAGAGTTCCTTCAAAATAGCATGATGGAAACGAGAGATGTTCATGTATAAAATACGACACTTAGAACTAAACACAAAAAGGAAAGCTACATTTGCACTTATCAGTAGAAAACAGCGAGCTGGGGGCAACATTGAGTGCTCAAAACATCAACACACCATCAACTGAGCAGCAAGTTTTTCACCTGCAGGAGATCAGCATTGAGCAATGTTAGCAAGAATTCTCTTTCGGAAGCTCCATAATGAAGGTGAGGTTCAGGGAGGTCAGTTTAGTCAGCCTATAAGGGCCAGTCTACACACCGTTACAACAGGGAATTGGGAAGTTGTAGTGCTTGAACCCGGTACGTAAACAGCAGCCCCGGAAGTCTGACTGAATTGTTCCTCATCTCCTACTGTCGAGGAAGGCAAAACAAGTCAGGGATCACCATTACTTATAAATGAAGCAGCGCTGCTCGCTACAACTTTGACATGGGAAGTGTTTCTCAATCAAAGCGGATACTCCAACAGAAAAAAATGAGGATGAGAAACGTGGATGATACACACGACATTGAGCTCAGCAGCTTCAGATCTTTTTTTTGGGTTTGGTGTTAGCGACCGAGCCAGCCTAAGCATTCCCTCAGTGTCTCACTTTCCTAAAACTGATGTCAGCACAAAAACGCAGACAAGGGTAATCGCTCTCCATCTTTCCTCCGAGGAAGGAAGGATTAGTGACACAGTCCATTATATTCCACTTTCCTCTTCCAGAGGATAGAAAGGCTCCAGTGAGTCCCAGGGTCACACTTGCATGTTCTCCGCTTTACGGCTAGCGGTCTTGGAAACACTACTGATGCTGCTTTCAATAAAGACCTTCAGGCCCTTTAAACCTTGCGCGTAGAGAAATTCCAGATACCAGTTCCACTTGTTTCTCTATAAAAAGAGACAGAAGAGTCAGACAGGCTAATCTGAAAAGGTCTGCAAATATCAGCTTCCAGTTTGACAGCATCTATCCTAGACTGTGAATACCCACAGGTACAGACTCGCATCCTGCCCCCAACGGCCAAACTTTTCACTTATCTGCGACATATTCTTAGCTTGAGCATGACAAGTCATGTTCAATACTGAAGGTGTTTATAAAAAACAGCTCTGAAGAGAGCAAAGTCTATTGTATCAACTGCGAAGATGTCAGGAACCAAATGAAGATGGATATTAAAGCCTCCCTTCCATCACTAATGGTGATTCTTCCAGATCAGGTTTGAAGTACGCTGCGATACAGGAAAGGAGACAGACTGCCACCGTGCCTGCTCAGTAGAGGATCCCTGATCAAAAGCTCTAGCAAAGCTACGCACCCACCTCAAATTCAACATTAACTTCATTGATAATAGAAATTCGGCTCCAAGTACACCAAAAATATAACTTCATTGTTCTCTGCAGGCTCCAGAAAAACATCCTTGTCCTGATACGGCACTGACTCATGGAGGAAACAAATCCCAGCCCATTACCCACAGGTGGCTAGACATGACATCTCAGATGCTGATGTCCTCATGTCTGGCCCTATTAGGGAATGAACCAAAATCTACAGCTCTAATTTTCCCCTTTCAAAACTTTTTAGAGAGTGTTTGTGGAATTGGTGATTATCATCACCTTATCCTCTTCTACACAGCTGCTGAAAATTGCCTGTTTTCACCTCACTAAAACAAGAAAACTTACCTTAATTAATCTGAAGTTGAAGGTGGTCTCATCTGGCCAAGCCTTAAGGAGAGGGAATAAAAACAGTATCAAGTCAAATAAAAACTACATCCCGAGTTGCTGGGCCACTGCTTGGTCTACTCATAAGTCAGGAATTACAGATGCACAAAGAAATTCAGGGTTTTTTAATTGTGCTTCAAAATGGGCTTCCAGGGTCATACTGTGTCCACAAGTGGCATGTTAATGCCCCGTGCTGCAGCATTATGGGATAGAAACAGAGTATTTATTGGCATCTTCAACCATTGTCCCTCTCTAGTGTAAAAGCTACCCCTTCAAAGCATTAAATAGATAATTCCCAACAATGAATAAGAGCAAGCAGGAACCTACAGACACTAGCTCGTGGTTTGTGTTCCAAGTGTGCTGCAGAGCAGCACCCTCTGGTGCTCAGCACTGAAGTGTTAAAAGATGGCACTGCAGCTAAATATTTTTTTCCTGTCTTAAGACAAACCTGTAATAGCTGCTAAGCACAATCTCCTTGGTTCTGCAGTGGGAAGAATACAATAATTCTCCACTAGAAGGTTTTGGTTTGGGGGGTTTTGTATGTTTTTTTAATCTTACAAATGTTAAAGAATTCGGAGCCTCACAACAGAAAGGATGGAGTCAAAAGATACAAAAAACTAATCCTGCTACAACAGCAGAAAGACCAAGAAAAGAAGTTGTATGTAACAAAAAAAATCACCTCCTCTGGCAGATAAAACTGGGTATAATCAGCAGTAAGAGACAAACTACCTAGATTCAGGACCCTGAGTATATAAACAAAGGCAAATTAGTTATGGGTTCCTAACCAGTATTCTCTGCTTCAACTTTAACCTCCAGTTTCCCTTGCTTCGTTCCAGAAGCCACACCTACACATGCCTTCAATCTGCCAGCATTCCTCACAACAAAACAGCATCTTGGAACAACAACTCTGGCAAGCTTCTCTCTCCACTATTCAGTAGCTGCATTGAACACATGATGGCAGCTGGAATCCAAGGCAAATAGTAGCAGAAGTCCTGTCAGGCAACACAGGACAGCGCCATGTTATTGTACTTCTGTACCTGAAGTAGCTAATGGCAGTTCCTTTTTAATAAGAAATTCTCAAAAGCTACTGCAAGCACCAAAAAGCACGGCTAGAAGTTCTACCACGTGCACCTGTGTACAATTTAACTAAGTTTTTCTTAACTTTCTGGAATTTAAGTGTTTAAATCACACTCCATATTTTGTGGGGTGGGATGAACTATTAGGAAGATTTACTGAATTAGTCATTTCTTTCATTATTTAGCTATTTTAGTTCTATTCTCGAAACTGTCACAAGCACAAGTTCACATCTAAAGCCGTTGCATTCATGCTTTCATATCACACAAAGGAAGACTACTCGAATTGTGCCACTGCTCTGACACAAACACAGCCTGCCATAGCAGCTTTTGAGTGCTCACGTGACTAAGTCAGCCAGTACAAAACCAGAGATACTGCTCTACAGAAACTGTCAAGACAGAAGATGTGGTGCTACCAAAGCGTCAGCCCACACCATTACCTGCTGCATGAAAAGGAGAGCAAAGCCCATCAGGGCTGGGTGGTAAACAATGTTAAAGCTGGTTTTGTATTCCTGCACCGCGGTTTTCTTCAGCAGTTCCTCATCCATACGAAGACCTTGCGGATGAACATCCTCCTGGAACACACTGGATGTCCACAGGCAGCCCACCATCGCTATTGTGTAGTGGTTGTACTCTTGGTACGTCTGGCTACTGAAGCTGAATTGTTGTATTTTCTGAGGGAGAAGAAAACAAATCAACAAATAGCATCCTCCAAGTGGTTGTGCACTCCCTCCAGTCCTTAAAAGAAAGCCATCAGAACAGCTCTCCTCCATTCAACTTAACTCCTTGCTACGGTCAGTTCTAGCACATTTGCACATTTGTCTACAATACCTTCTTACTCCGCTCATTTTGCTTTGCGGCCACCAAGTTGGTTCGATACCTTAAAAAAAAAAAAAAAAATAAAAACGAGAAATTTAGGTGCCTGTAATTTTTATTACCTACCAATAGTGAAAAAAGCTAGAGGAATGCATTAGGAAAGCTTACTTCCTCCACGAGATCAAATATCACTGGTAAAACAACCAAAGGACATGAACAAGAATTCAAAGGGACACTATCACTTGGCATAGACCCACGCTTTCCAGGCAGAGTAGGGAGACACCACATAATACTCATCTCTTAAATGATTAAGATATGGCAGATTTGCCTGTGACAGCCACCATCATAAAGGCAGTACAAGGATTGACACACAGCCTTAAA